GTCCCTCTCCAAGGATGTGTCCCTCCTGGCCACATGTCTAAAGTATGTGGAACAGACTCAAAATCATTGCCTCCAAGGAGCAGCCCAGCTTCACCCTCTCCAAAACAGACTTGTTTGTTCTCCTCTTAATCCACGGTATGTCCAACACTCTTCTCTAATACCACAACTAGAAGGCAACAATCCTTCTTCTATCATCCTTAGTCATTTCCAGGTGTCTGATGCATAATAAGTAATTGCAAAGACCATGGCCTGCATCAGGCACACCTCATCATTGCTCTTCAGTAAGAAAGTTTCCTGACAGCAGATGTTTCCAATGCAGTTTGTCTTTTGATTTACTGACTGCTAGTGCTAATAATGCTGACTGTGGAATGAAGCAAGCAGACATTATCAACAGTTTCAATCTCTTCTACATCTGTCACGAAGCTGCCAGTGGGCCCATTGGTGAAAATCTTTGTTTCCTTGATGCTGACCTTCAATCCGTACTGAAGACTGCAGTCCTTGACCTTCTGCAGCAAATACCTCATGTCTTCAGTTTCAATAAGCAAAGTTGTGTCACCTGTATAACCCAGATTGTTGATGAGTCTTCCTCTAATCCTGATGCCACATTCCTCCTCATAGAGCCCAGCCTCTCGAATGGTCTGTTCTGCATATCGATTGAATAGATATGGTGATAGGATGCATCCCTGGATGCACGCTTTTCCTAATCCTGAACATAGTGTTTCCCTGCTCTGTTCTGACTACTGCTTCCCAGTCCAAGTATAGGTTTCACATCAGCACAAGTAAGTGTTCTGGAATTCCCATTCTTCTCAAGGTTAGCCACAATTTGATATGATCCACACAGTCAACTCTTAGGAGAAGGTCACATGTATATGATCCACAAGGGTTATTAGATAAGGATGCTCACCATTTAAATGTGCACCATGTTCCACATTCCTAAATTATACCATACAGACACAAAGAAGGAGACCAACAGTTTAGCATATAGTAATCTATACTGGGTCACTATGAGTCTCCAGAGTACTGAAGAGCAATAATGTCACTCACTCTGGACACTAAGGTGCACCTCATGCAGACCATGGTCTTTGCAATCATTTGCTATACATCAGAGAACTGGAAAATGACTAGGCATGATAAAAGGAGAATTGATGCCTTTGAGCTGTGGAGTTGAAGAAGAGTGTTGAATATGCCATGGACTTCTAAGAGAATGCACACGTTCATCCAAGAAAGGGTTAAACTAGGCTGCTCCTTGGAGGCAAGGATTCTGAAGCTTCATCTGACATACTATGGACATGCTGAAAGGAGGGACCAATCCTTGGAGACTGATGTCATTCTTCAGAGAAAGGAGGCACAGCACAGGAGAGGAAGACCCTCGACGAGATGGATTGATTCAGTGACTGAGTAAAGGGAGTAGGTGTGCCAGAGACAATACGATTGGCATAGGATAGGGCAGGGTTTAGGGCTGTTGTACATAGGGTTGCTATGAGTCACAGGCTATTCAATGGCACATAACAGCAACAACAAGTCACAAGTGACTTGACAGCATATAACAACAACAAAAACAACAAGAATCTATATTGGTTTGAGGGAAAAGGAAGTTCCATGTCTGTCCTAAAACCGAAGTAGGTTACATAGATGGTATGCTAATCAGAGTAAGCAGAATTCGGTTTAAAACAATAAATGAAAGATTGAAGGACAAGAAAGCAGAAAATGATTATTGGAATTGAAAATAGCAGGACTTCTTCTCTCAGAAGATACTAAGAAAAAGAAGAGAGGGAAATAGAGAGACAGTAAGAGAGAAAAAATGTGTGTGTGTGTGTGTGTGTGAGAGAGAGAGAGAGAGAGAGAGAGAGAGAGAGAGAGAACACACATGTGTTCGGAGTTTTTGCAATTTAGCCTTCACAGACTTCAGGAAAACAGGAGCTAAAACTTACCTGTCAAATCACTTGAAGGCCTAATTCTTTATCCTTAGAATTTGCTTCTTTAGTTTTCTAAGCCTTGAATAATGAGTTACTAATTCTTAGTCTCTGATTAAAGATTACAAAGACCGACTTTTAAAAAGAAAGTATTTTCAGAAATTACTATTTCACATTTATAAAATTAAGTGCTTAAGAACTTTAAGTTCAACACGTGTCTTGGTGGAGAGAAAGAACATTCTGTAGGAGAGATGATTTTAGTCCACGTGTGGGCATTGGAGCACGACCTTGGGCTCCACCAGCAAGCATTGCACGTAGCACGTCTCAATTTAATGTTAGTACAAATTGTGCAGTGTGAATTAACTACTCCAATCTGAAGAGGATTCTAGCAACATCTGGTTACAGATAGAACAAGTGGGGGGAAATTACTAAGGTGAGTATAAAGAGTTTGGGGTTTTGCTAAAGGATG